TCAGTGAACTACGGCTCTGTGTAGTAAATGCTGCTCCATCTGAAAGCACGTGATGATGATTTACTGCTGATTACAGAACCGGCAGAACAAAATGCGCATGACAATCGCATTCGATTAATCGTGCAGCCCTAAACCCAGCCATAGACTCTCCCCTCAAAGAAATCAGGAAAGTGGCCAAAAGTGGGCAAAAGAGAGACTAAAACAGCAGGTGTAAATGGGAATGTGTCTACTTTGTCTACTTGTGATCTGATCGGCCAAAGTGCATCTTAATACCAGGTGTATTAACTGAATTTATTTACTGAACCTTTTAAAAATTTGTTTATAATCAAATTGTAATTTAATTTTTAATTAATGAATTGATACTTTTTCTTTGAAGGAACCTTTTTCAGTCCATGTGTTGTTTCTTATTATGGTGATATTCTGGTAGGGCTAGAGCTCGCTAATTGCTGACCAAATGTTCTCCTTCTCTGTAGGTGATCAGTATTCTGGATGTGTTACACACTGTATTGAGGAGTTCTCCATCTCCACGTGAGCAGGCTGTGACGGTTCTTCTGGAGCGAGGGGTGGAGCAGCTCTACTGTCTGCTGCTTAAAACCAACTATGGAGATGAGGCTCGTGAGAGAGTTTTCAGGGTGAGAATAAGCTTGTACTTTAAATGATGGCATTTAGGCATGTATTGAGATGACGTTTTGAAACCAAAAACTATTAGATCAGTATCTTTCAGAGTGATATGAACACATGTTCTGCTGCAGGTCTTGTATAAAGTCCTGAAGAGTGAACGTATACCTGAGCGCAGTAAAATGCGCATCAAGCTCAAGGACTCTGGCTACCTTGGGCTGGTCTGCTCCTTTGGTGACGTCCCCATCACAATGGCGACTGTACGCTGTCTGTATGAGCAGGTTCTCGCCACAGGTAAACTGAAGAAAAGGTGGATAGCAGTTTTCAACTTTACACTTCAGGCGTTGATTGGTTTGTTTTGTTGTTTATTTGGTGCAGATCCCACTCCTAATTTTAGAGATCTGTTGGCAGTGGCATACCTGTCCCATCGTGCTGACCTCAGCGTCCGACTAGATATCTGTCGTAAGGTGAGTGACTGATGGAAAAACTGATGAAAAACCAGCCTAAGATGGTTGGCTGGCCTTACCTGGTCTTCCAGCCTGGTCATAGCTGGTTTAGCAGACTTGTTTTAGAGGAGTTTTGACCACTTCTTTATCTGTTAAGTCTGGTCTTAGCTGGTCAGGCTGTGAGACCAGCTAAAACCAGATGAATACTAGCTTGGCAGGGCTGGAAGACCAGCTTGATCGGGTTAAACCAGATACATCGAGCTAAGACTAGCCAACCAGCTTCAACTAGTATTAATGATAAGCTTATTTTATGGGGTGTTGGACTTTGAAAACACAGTTTTTTCAGTTAGACTTTGGTTAGCAAAGTTGCTAAGAGCTAGCATAATGCTAACTGGTTGGAATGACTTTTGCATAGCTAAGATATCAAGATAACAAGCTATGTTTTTGATCATGCATTACAAATGTATACAAAAAGGGATAAGATTGTGTTTTCAGTTAGCCAATGGCTAGCAAGTTTGCTAACAGTTTAGCATACTGCCTTCACATAGCGTTAAATGTGCCCTTTAGGTAGAGTCAGAAATATAACAATTACGAGCCTACATGAATCATACTTCTGATTGGAAAACGCAAGATTCTAGATCATACACAAGATATCTAATTGTGACATTGGATAAGGGATGTGTCAATTTAGCGGAAACACTGATCTGTAATATAGATGAATTACTCACTAAACAAACAATTCACTCACCGGTTACAGATTTGAATTAGTCTGATGAATCCTTCACTAATGAATCACTGCATCTGTCATTTTTAAAGAGTCTTTACTGATTCAGCAGCTGACTCACTCAGGTTCAAATCATATCAGGTTCACATGTCCAAACAAAAGCCAATCTCCCATTTGACCCATTCTACCCATTTGACAATATAAGTTTCACTTGCTTAACCACAAAATACAGTCCATCTGACATTCACTTACAAAATGCAACACAATGATAGAGCATTTAAAACACTTTGAAGCAAAACAAAACCCATTTCTAAGCGTACATGTTGTGAATGGTATGTTCTTGACTAAATTATTAAATTAGTAAATTAACATTTCTCTCTCCCTCTTTCATCCCTGTAGCTATTCCACTTGATCTACTCCAATGAAGAGTATGTGAAGCAGCTCGCTCGTCAGTCAGGCTGGCAGGATGTTCTCACCAAACTCTACATCAAAGAATCGTACGAGTCTCACGTTCTCAGCCAATCCAATTCTTTGTCCAGCCCCACCAACTCGCTGGACCCCGTTCTTTCCAGACCCGTCTTCCGTCGTGAGGACAGCGTAATGGAAGACACTCGGCAGAACGTCTACATTTCCCTCACTGCCCGCCACGAAGAGGAGTATGAGGAGGAAGAAGCTCAGGATGCGTCTGAGGGCTACTCTGACCTCTCCCAGTCTCCCCCGTCAACCGGACAACTCAAGAGCGATTCCTTGCACTTCAAGCCATTTGACTCCGGAGAACAAAGCAGTCATTCGTCCACCCTGTCCAACACCTTGGACATTCCATCGTCGTCCCGTTTGCTGGAAGAAGAGGAAAGCGTGTACCAGCCGCTCTCACCCTTCAGCTCACCCTTTGAGCTGGAACTAAGCCTTCAAAAAGGACCCCAGACACCTGTGGGTAGCCAGCCAGAGACCCCCTCTCCTCTGGAGCACAGTAAGAGCTTCCCAGGCATGAGGCCACGCAAGAGCTCCAGTCTGTCCAACGTTCTGGACAACACAAGCTACAGCACCGAACCTCCTACAGACACCATCTCCAACACATCCAACCCACAGGTACATGCTGAACTGGGGGTGGGCGATATGACCAAAATCGTATTGCTCATGATATGACCAATTTTATTTCACAGTAATGATATATATCACAATATAGTTATATTTGCTTTGAATAAGGTCTTTATGATATCAAAATTTTGATACCATAGAAATTTTCTAATTCTTGTCACTAGTGTTAATTTCACAAAAAAACTAATAAATAGCCTAAATAATAGAAAAAAAACCTCAAGCTCACTGAAGACAAGTAAACAGTCAGCAATTAAATAAGAATAAGAAACTAATTACAGAAATGCTACACACATTGTATAAAGTAATCAAATGTATAAAATACTACATATTCCTTGCTGTGTAAATTTAATATATATTTCTTCTAATTAAAGCTACAAAAGTGATTTAGTCAAGAGCAGTGAGAGATTTTCTCTCTTTTGTTGTTTGAGTAACATGAATGACAGACAGCAAGAATATAAGACTGCTGTCACTTTAAGAGCTGCCCAGATCCAAAATACAGGTGTTTTCTTTCTCAGCTGTTTGCTTCAAAATTACTGTTTACACAGGGATACTTGCAAAGACGGCATTTTGACACATACAAGTGTGTGTATTAAACCATATAATTCACAGCAAAAATAAATATAAGTAACGTTCAATACCTCCTCGCACATTGAGCACCATCTTCACGCATATAGCGTAACAAGTTTTCTTTTGCTGCTGATTGTGTTTCAAGGCATAACATCACTTGTTTTTAAACCGCAATGCTTAAAAACGTGTGCAAACGATGTTTTCATGACCACGTAGCACAGCAATATCATGTGAGCATGTAACCACCATAGAGACGACAGAGTCCAAAATCTCCCCCGGTTGACACATTTCTACCGGTTAATCGTGCTGAACACTTGCTTACTTGTTGTCACTGACTCATTCAGTGGATTGTATTAGTAAAGTACTGTAGGGAACAGGAATATTAAACTGCTGTCACTTTAAGAGCTGCCCAGATCCAAAATACAGGTGTTTTCTTTCTCAGCTGTTTGCTTCAAAATTACTGTTTACACAGGGATACTTGCAAAGACGGCATTTTGACACATACAAGTGTGTGTATTAAACCATATAATTCACAGCAAAAATAAATATAAGTAACGTTCAATACCTCCTCGCACATTGAGCACCATCTTCACGCATATAGCGTAACAAGTTTTCTTTTGCTGCTGATTGTGTTTCAAGGCATAACATCACTTGTTTTTAAACCGCAATGCTTAAAAACGTGTGCAAACGATGTTTTCATGACCACGTAGCACAGCAATATCATGTGAGCATGTAACCACCATAGAGACGACAGAGTCCAAAATCTCCCCCGGTTGACACATTTCTACCGGTTAATCGTGCTGAACACTTGCTTACTTGTTGTCACTGACTCATTCAGTGGATTGTATTAGTAAAGTACTGTAGGGAATAGTAAATATAAAAGTTGAGGGGGTGATTGCAGAATGCAGCTCCTGAGACAAGATAACTACAGGCACAGCAGACTGAGGGTGTAATTAAAGACAAATTGAGGAGCAAGGTCAAAGTAAATTAATAAAATATTATCTAATAAGCTCTATGGACAGTTTTATAAAGAATATACATTCCTCTACTTATGCCAAATCCTAAAATATGTTATTGGGCAGAAATTGTAAATATATACTTTTTTTTTTTTAAGGGGTCATATGATGCTATTTTAAAGATCATTATTTTGTGTATTTAGTGTAACAGAATATGTTGACATGCTTTAATGTTCAAAAAACACATTATTTTTCAAATACTGTACATTATTGTAGGTCCTCTATGCCCTGCCTCTCTCAAACACGTCGTTTTCAACAAAGCCCCCTCCTTTGACAAGCGCAGTCTGCTCTGATTGGCCAGCTGACCCAGTGCATTGTGATTGGCCGAACACCACAAGCACGCGTCGGAAATGTAACACCCCTTTCCATAATCGCGAGCTTCAGCTTTCAAAGTAAATATCAAGACAGTTAATAATGTCGTTAATTTTACCATCAGTTCAAGCCCGAAAGGGCAACAGAGTCGCGTGACAGACACAGTGATGATGCAGTACACAAGCCGCGGTTAAGACAGCTGAATCTCTTTGGATTTGAAACTTTAGTCTTTGCAACTTTACAGATCTTCTTTATGCACCAAGAGCTTGTAACACTCCAAAGAGAAAGGAAAACTTGAAATTGCATCATATGACCCCTTTAATAAAAAAATCCTTATCTAGTAAATCGCAAACAGCTGAAAAGGGGGCCCTCAAAAATTGTGTATTACTTTAATAACTTTATTAGCTGAAAACTTGCCTCTCTATCTCCCCCATTAGGCTCCCGAGGAGGAGTTGTGTAATTTGCTGACGAACATCGTATTCTCTGTGCTGTGGAGCGGCACTGAGGGGTCTGAGGATGTGATATGGAGAGAAAGGGGTCAGGTGTTCTCTGTCCTCACCAAGCTTGGCTCATCCTGTCAGCTGGTGAGGCCACCTGATGACATCAAACGCAGGTCAGAAGCTTAAAACTTTAATGCTTTAAAACTTACTGATTCAGATATAATGATAGCTCATAAAAAATTGAGAAAGAAGGCACTGCATTAACAATTCCTCTGTCCCAGAGAGATAAAATGAAGACTGACATCTTTTCAGACAGATTGAACTTTGAAAATGTACTTTTTGGAATTGGATGAACCTTGAACAATCTCCTAACCCACCTGAAGTATTTAAATGCGTAGGAGAAGTGCCAGTGACTTTAAAGTTTCAATGAAATAGAGGAAAATGGGCATCTTTCTATTTTGTGCCCTGTAAAGCTTATTTTAAGTTGTAAATGACCTCCATTATGAGAAAACCTACTGCATTTAAAATCCAGTCGAGATCAGTGAGCTGAGACTGAAGGGAGGTGCGGTACATGAAAGTGTTCTCTGGATTCCTTTGGTTCAGATGAGGGCAGGGTGGGGATCTCTGGAGGGCATATGTTCTTTGTGCTACAGGGCTGTTGCTTTTCTTTGGTGTGGCTCCAGCATTGCATCACCATAGAGCTTGTTTTTTCTTTAAGTCTTAGGGTGTGTCTTTCTGATGACTTGTTCAAGACATTGAGTATTATAAGCTGGTGGGAGTGTTACAGATGCATTATGTGTATGTTGTAGTCTGTTGGAGATGATGCTGGAGTCGTCTCTGTCAGATTTGAGGGACTCTCAGGGCGTGTCTCTACCCCATGTGCCTTCTTTGCTCCGCCTCCTCAGACTGCTCCAGGACTTCCTGTTCGCCGAGGGCACTGACAATCAAACACTATGGAGTGAGAAGGTGGGGAATGGATGGATATGTTCTCACTCTGATATTATAACTCACACACTCTTATTTCAAAGCCAGAAGAGTTTGAAACAGGAAGTGGAAAGAAATCCACGTTTAGGATATTAGGCTGTGCATGCAAATCTAATTAGATTTTTTTTTCTTATGTTAGAAAAAAAATTGTTTTTGGAAACAGACCTAGAAAATGTTGCACACTCCACATCCCAAATAATGAAATGAATAAATAAATAAACAAACCCAACCTGAAATCTGATCTGACTCTTGAGACCTCTGATGCAGAATCAAAACAACATATGATTTTAATCATATTTCAATCATTTCAATGTTGTTGTTGTTTAAGCAAAACTAAACATAAAATTGCTGTTGCATAAATTACTGTTCAAACGTTTGGGGTTAGTTAGATTTTTAATATTTTTGAAAGACGTCTCTTATGCTCACCAAGGCTGAGCTTAATTGATAAAAATACAGTAATATTGTGAAATATGATTACAATTTGAAATAACTGCTTTCTATTTGAATATTAATGTATATTAATTTTTTATTTGAATATAAATGTAATTTATGCCTGTGATGGCAAAGCTGAATTGTCATCATGTGAACTAGTAACATGATCCTTCCTGAAATCATTATAATATGCTAAGTTGGTGCATAAGAAACATTCTTATTATTATCATTGATGAACATAGTTGTGATGTTTAATTTTTTGTTTGTTTTTTGTTCAGAAACCATGGTCATTTTAAACCTTTTGTAACATTATAAATGTATTTACCATCATATTTGATCAATTTAATGAATCCTTGCTGAATGGAAATATTAAGTTATAAATTACCACATTGTACCCTAGTATATAACATACAAATTCATAACTATAAGGATAAGTCTCTCAAACATAGAAACTGATATGTACTGTTTGTACATATATGTAATATTGGTTTAAATAAGTGTACAAATTCTTATTTAGGGAAACTTTATTCTGATGTTTTATTGAATACAATATGTTTATTTGTGAATGAGTATAAGAGTGTGTCTATATTTGGGGCAGATTTTTGAGGGGGTGGTGAATCTGTTGGACAGGCTGCAGGCATGGCACACGACCCCTGGGTCAGCGGGGGCCGCTGAGCTCAAAGAGATGTCTCTGATCGGCCTGCGTATCATCACTGGATACATTCAGCAGCAGCAGAACCCACAGGTACACGCATATACACCCATCTTAATAGGAATTCCAGAGTTGTGTTTTCAATTTCTTGCTCTTTGACATTTACAAATGTGTTTTTATTCGCTGATTATGTGGGATGGACTGAACAATTTTTATGACAGTTTCAAACAAGACTAAAAATCACTCATGGTGGACGCTAGGTATACTCCCTTCTACAGGTGAAGCGTTGAACATACGCACACAGTTGTGTTCAGGATTATTAGATATGCCTTTGGGCTATAAAGAGCTTTTTTTGTAAACAGCTTCAGTTCATTCCATTGGAGAGTAGATGTCCATATATGGGTATATGTGGGGTTTTTTATCGTTCTCCTCCAGGCTCACTCAAACCCATCCCACACTCAAATGAGATCATATCAACTGACTGAAGAACTGACTTACTGCGAGGCAGTCTGGGAAAACATGCGCCTGCCTCAAGACTCTTTACAATGTGTTGTTCATAAGCATGTTTGTTTCCTATTGGAAGGTATAGGAAGCACTAAGCTTGTAATTATATTCTTTAGTATAAAGTGCTGTAAAGTTCAATTGTAGTTTGGAAAAAAGACTCTTAAATTACAAACAGTTATCTGACAAATATTTCTTACTGGCCACTGAACTTTACTATGCATGTTAATTTAAAAAATGAATTGTTTAGCTAATACATACATACATTGGGTATTAGGCAAGTATTAATTTTGACCTTAAGGCTTGACATGACTTTAATATTCATAGAAATTCTGAGTTGGATCAAATAATTAACCTAAATGCATCCTTAAAACCATAAATGAATGTGAGCTCGTAAAAACGGGCTGCTGTGCTCACAGGAACTCTATAATAAGCATGGATAAACAAGTGCCATTCACAGTGAAAGCCTTGTTTCAGAAATAGCCCTAGACAAAGACAAGAGGCAGACAGGAGTAGATGAACAAGACTAACAAGGGGACACGACACAGGTGTGCATGACCAATAGGAGAAAACCTTTTTTTAACATGATTTTGAATGCTGTGAATTCAAAGGAATAATAGCTTACTGCATCCTGTGCACTATATATAAAAAAGTTAAAATAATAATTAAAAAAAATTTATAGTCCAGTCCAGTAGTTAGGCAATTATTCTATTAATGTAGTATATTTTTATAGTATATCATATACTGCATCAGGTAAAACTATTAAAATAGCTTTTGTTTATTTAAATATAGCTGGAACAAAATAAAATGTAAATATTAGTTAAAAACAAACTTAACCGGAAATTAGAAATGTTGCCTTGACAACTAACTGTAGTAAAATAATTTTGAAATACTAAAATTACTCAATCTAAAACAGAAATAACATTTAATTCAAGCAGAGTAGAAGTAAAAAAGTTCTACAAAAAGAAAAAGAAAATTGACAAAAGCACATAATTAATAAGTACTATGATAGTAGTAGTAATGTATAATGCTAAAATAACACTGATGTATCACACTAAAAATGTTTACTATAAACTGTAAAGTATAGTATATAGTACATATACTGTATCCATTAAAATGTTTTTATTATGTACTGTGCAGTATGTAGTCAACATTAAGCTATTATTCAATTGGTATACTATACTATTTTATACTTACAATATATATAATATAGTACAACGCTATAATTTCTGTACTTTCTGTACATCTTCACATTAAAACCATTGTATGAACACTTTAAAATGTTTTTTTTTTTTTAAGTTATAATTAAGTATTATTGGAGTATGTTGTACAAGAAAATAACATTTTAATTGTTTGTGAAATTTACTTACAGTTTCTGTAATTTTTCGGTGTAGTACATACTTTACTATAGTATTTTGTATATATCACATAAAAATTATGGTATAGTATAGTATATACTGCATGAATACAGTAATACATAATACGATTGTGTGCTGTTCTAAACGTATTCAAATATCAATACACATATCAGAATAAAAAAGGGAGACACAAATAACACAAAAACCATGACAGCAACATGTTTTTGTTTTTTCCTCAGGTGTGTGAGATGGCGTGTTTAAAGCTTCATAGCCTGCTGCAAACTGTGTTATGTCTGTCCTGGGAGGAGGTGTGTTTTCTTCTGGGTCGTCTCGGTGCACCACTTTGGCCTGCAAACTGTGGCTCAGACCCGGGCGCCGAGGCTTTGCTGAGCCCTCTGGTGCCCATCGTCAGAGCGCTTCTGGACCAGCATGCGGATCGAACCACCCTTCAGAAGATGCTCCCCAACCTGCCCGCCACCAACGGCAGCCCCTCCTTCGCCCAGGATCTCCAGAACTACTGCAGCACCGCTGAGTGGCAGCAGTTCCACCTGAACCATGTCAGTACACACACACACACGCTTCACTTAGCAGACACCCGGTTAGACTGTTTACCTTACGATAAGCTGACGGCTTCCCTGCCGCAGTCTTGTCAGTATATGTTACCACAAACTTATTTTGTTTTACCTTTTTTGGATGCAGAATGTCAGAAATAAGTCTCTCAGCACTCATTCTCAGTCAAACAGGAGATGAGCTCATCATTTCACACAATGCTCAATCCTGAAGGATTATACACACATTTTTCTTTGAAGCAACCCATTCTCTTATTTACATCTGTAGCATACGATATATAATCATCTTGGATTCATTTAGGTTTAGCTAAAGCTGATTTCAGCAGTGGTCCAGCATCAGAGCTGTAGTCTTCTCTCTCTAAAACTCAGCGGACGTGTGTTTGTTTTAGCGTGAGGGCACTTTGACAGTTAATCCGCTTCCATTGTAGTGATGAACTCTTTATTTAGACTCTTTTGTTCATCCAGTGCCAAAACAAGATAGAAAAAATGCTGAATTATTCCCCTCATCTCACAAATCCAAAACAAGCCATGCGTTTAAATTAAACAGACATCATGCCAGAGTGACCTGGAGATGATTTATGAAGGCTGGCGTGTGGGAGCATGTGCTTATAAATCTAACCTGTTTGAACTGTTCGTATATATAAAATCACACAGTATATTACCATGCCTTGAATCGGGAAGTAAACCAGGTTTTGCACTATGCCCAAGCATATATCTGGGTGCAGGGAGGTGAAGAGAAAGAAAAGAAAGTGTGTATTTTATATGTTCAGCATTACAATATAACATGTGTACTAACTTTGTAAAAGGTTGATAGAATACATATAATAGGCTACATTTTCAGTGTAAATGAAAGCAGCAAAATGTCAACAACAGCAATATGATCAGACACATCAGTGGTCCTATTTTAGTATTATTATAAATGTATACAATGTATTTTAAAGTATTCATTATTGTAATAGTTGTAAATTGTATACATTTATAATATGATTAAAATATGTATTTTATGCAAATGATTGTATGCATTAATGTATGTAATTATATTATATTATTTTTACTTTTTATAAATTAATAAATTCAAATACATGTACACTTATAAAATAATTAATTATTTAATGCACTGTTGCTATATTATTTTTCATTTGAACAATTTTAATAATTGTAAATAGTTTGTTTACATTCATAATATAATTCAAATAATTATTTTACACTTTATGCCATTTATTATATTATATTATATTATATTATGTTATATAATGCAAACAATTCTAAAAAAAAAAAAAAAAAAAAAAGTTGATTTTCCTAACTG